AGGACTTTCACTCCGTCCTTGGTCAACATCTATAAAAGATGTGCCTCAGAGTATTCTATCTAGCTCGATCGGGCTAGAGATAATGAGGTTAGAAGTTTGGTTTTTGTTTTTGGTGGACGAAGTTGATTGTTGGTTGGTTGAGGAGGAGGGCTGGTTTAACTGCGGTTGGGTGTGGCCAGAAGAAGGAACATGCTCAAGTGTCTGTTTCCGTTTGTTCTCCCCCTCATGAGGAACCGAGTCATCGGGGTCCTCGTGGGAACGTTTGTTGTCGCGAAGACTCTCACCGCATGTGCTTTGGGTTTGAAAGGCACGGAGAATGGTGAGTTGGTCAGGTCTGAGTTTGTCTTCATCGTTGAGGAATCGGGCAAACATGATGGTAATAAGGTCATCTAGGGACACGGTGTTCGAGTTAGGATAGGGTGTGGTCGAGGTAGGGGAGGACATACATTCCGTATCCTGGGTTCCCCTTGGTGTGGTATGTGTATGAGGTTGTTGGGCTGATGGTTCAGATGTAGGTATAGATATGGTTAGGGTCTGTTGTGGTTGGGTTGATAGAGGTGTTGGTTCAGGTTGGGGTTGGTTTTGATCGTTTTGAACTGCTAGGGTTAATCTAAAGTCCTGTGCCCGAACGGTTATTGTTTCGTGCACCTTTGGCATTATGGTGGACTCTAGAAAGCGATTTAGAAGATCAGTAAAGTCTTCGGGGTTAGGTTTCCCGGTTACAAAGGTAGTAACCGCTGTCACAGCATCAATGAAGATTGCTGATGTGTGGCCTGGATGGAATCATTTGGTGCGTAACAGGACTTTCGACCATCATCGTTTGCACTCTGGTCGTTGCATTCAGGGTGAGAGTACCCGTATGTTGTGCAGTGAAAAATGTAGGTGTCCTAGAAAAATTAAAAAATGTTGGAAATGTGACACCTAGACTCGATGTGTGCGAAAGAGGGGTAGTGGTCTGGGGCTGTTGACCACTAAGTCTCTCAACTGCCCCGGAAGGGAACCGAGAGGACAGTGTAAATCCCCCTTGTGATGTTGAAACTCCAGCCTGTTGGGAGGTTGAAGAGTGGTCGGGAGATGACTGTGAGTGCGCAGTTGAACCGGATGATGCGACTTCTACCCGGGAACTGACATGGTCAGCTCCTTAACCTAAGGACGAGGTTCGACTTATTTCCTGGAAGGTGTCGCTATCATCGGATAGAGCAATCTCTTCCTCAATGTTGCTCTTTTTCTATAATCTCTTGGTAAGTTTGGATGATGATGAGGGGACATCATTTTGTTACTTAGAGCATTGTTCGGGCGACGAGAATATGACTTTGAAGCGTATTTTGGTCGGCTCAACTCTAGCTTGTCTGACATTGTCACCAGCGTCATCCTCCTCCTCCTCCTCCTCATCATCATCATCATCATTCTTTCTGCTCCTTTCAGCCATGCTATCGGATGCCTCGTCGTCAACGTTATTCGTGTTGGTGGCTGGGCTAGACGATTCATTGGCGATGTCCTCTGCATTATGGGTGTGGCCCTCAGCAGAGTGAGCTCTCTCGGAAGAGTCATCGTTCTGATCATCATAAGGCCGAATTGCCACTGGTTTATGGCGAGCTAACTCTCCGAGAACCCTCACCTTCACTCAGTTGAGTCCCATGGGAAGGTCCAGTTTGGTTTTGCTGAACCATAGGGACTGTTTGGTTGATTCTTTGTCTATATTTGACTACCTCCAGATCTTTTTTATTTTCAAGATTGAGCAAAGACTCCGGGATCGGCATTGCTACTGTGCCTGAGCCCCCCTTAGATTTCTGGAAGAAATTGAGCTTGGGGGCTACAAAATGAGGCTCATCACTCCCGCCTTGGTATTGCCGATGTTTTGGTCATGATGTTGTCAATCAGATAGACAGTCAGCGAGCATACAGAATAGTCGGTGTCCTCTTCGAGCCGTCACGAGCCTGGACTTGATCTATGAGCTCAGTCCAGAATAGCTGAGCCATGTTGTACTTGATGTCAAAGGCTATGCCATGGAAGATCTGTAGAATTTGGTGATTGCATTTGTCGTGACCGACGTTCTTTGGTGAGAGGCACTTATTGACCATCCCAAACAATGTCTTCCATGGATGAGCCAAGTTGGCAATACAGGAATTTGATATATTGGGCAGTGGAGCATCATACCATAGCTTCAGCAGGTCAACGATCAGTTGTTCATTGGTTAGGAGCGATGCATAGTTGCTGAGTGTGAGCAACTGTAGGATTTCTCTCAATGTAGTAGATGTCACCACCACTTTTGTGCTGTTGAGCTTGGTTATCACCTTCATTTTGTCCTTCTTTGACGGGGTTTCCATGCATCCCCAAAGTTGCTGCAAGTATATCTCTGGTACTGTAGTTGCTTTGGTGAATGCAATCCAGAGATAGAAGATGTGTACATCTGAAGAGCTTCAGATCCAGCTGGAAATCGTTGTCCAGAATTTCTATCCACTGGTTGGACGAGTACAACTGACTATAGAGCTGATTCTGATTTTGAGCACCTGACATGATTATCTGTACACAGGTAAGAAGATGTGCATTTGATGTTTTATTTTAGCAGGGCTTTTCAAATTATCTGTGCAAAGGGCGGACCTCGAGAAATCTTGTAAGTGAAAACCTTGAAAAAATTTCAAAAGTACAAAGCTCGAGAAACCTTTTCGATGTTTAAACTTCGAGAAATTTTCTCGAGGTTTAAACGACGAGAAAGTTTCGTGAAGTTTGATCATCGAGAAACATACGATTTTCATATCAATGCTCATTTTGTATGTTACATATGCTAAATTGATACTGATGTTATTCTTATTTTAAAATGTCATATCAATGCATATTTTAAAAGTATCATATTACATTAGATTCACATATTGAAGTTCATAGGAATTGATTGTAGATATAATTTAACGAGTTTTTATAAATGAAAAAATAACAAAAAGAAAGTGAATTATTAGTTATGAAGCAGAGATCACGATACTCAATATTAGACTCCTAATACTCAGCAGAATAGGTCTAATGTTCATTAAAAGTTCATTTAATGTTCATTTGACAGAAATCGTGATTTCAATTGATCTCAATATAGGAGGCTTAATGCTCAATGAAAAATGTCGTGGTGTTCAACTAACAAAACTTACAATTTTTATATCAATACACATTTTATAAGTTATGTATGCTCATCCGGTACTGATGCTGTGCTCATTGTTAAAATGTCATATCAATGTATATTTTAAAAGTACCATATTACATTAGATTCGTTAATTAAAATACGGGGTTTTGACCTCAATATTACTAAAAATGGATAATTGACAAAAAATGATCTTTTCTTTAAATTTCTAGAAATGTGACTAATAAAATTTTAACTTACTAAATTATCCCTAATTTACAGTGACTTTGTTTTATAGTTACAACCATCATAGTGACATCCGCTTTAGTGACCACCGGCCACCGCCGCCAGCCCCACCACCGGCCACCACTGTCGGCCATAGTGACATCAATCACAGTGACATAGTTAAACTGACTACAGTGATCAGTGACATAGGTCACAATGACGCCGCCATAGTGACACTGTTATAGTGACCGCCACCGCGACCCCACCACCGTGACCCTGCCACCACAACCGTGACCCCACCACGACCACCCACAGCCCCCCTCAGCTCCCCACACGCTGGAACCCCTTCCCTGCCCCAATCCCTGTCAGAATCCATCCCCTGCTACAGACCTTGCCGGAAACCATTCCACTGCACCTGGCCCTAATTTCAGAACCGGACGCCGCCGCCGCCCCTAACAATCTGCTACCGCTAGTGAAACCCTATCCGACGAGATTCCAGATCAGCGCAGCGGTGACGAGATCTTCTATAGCCACCAAACTCGTCGTTGGCCTCCAAATCCGACGAATCTGGTCGCCTGATGGATGAAGCACGTCGCCGGCCCTATCACTGTTGCTCACAACCTTCGTGCTCCGGCCCCATCAAAACCCTAGTCACATGTCGCTATTTGCACGATCGTTCACCATCAACAACCACCTACAGTCATTGATCGTCGTCTTTGTAGGTATAATCATCAAATTCGTCGTTTATCAGTTTCCATCCCAACCGCCAATTAGAGAAATGGAAGAAGAAGAAGAAGAAGAATGGTGGGGATGGAAGGGGACAACGACCGTGGAGAGATAACGACGGATGCACGGAGATGATGATGTGAGGTCGAGTGGATGCTGCCTCAAAGAAGAAGCGTGGTGGCGTCGATTGCGATGCAATGGTGATGGCGGTTGATGTTCAACGGCGAGTTGTGGGTTGGTAGATCACATAGAGGAGGCAGTTCCCAGGCAGGCACGAAGGAGGTGAGGCTCTAGGGTTATGCTGTTTCAATTATTTGAGGGGTATTGTTGTCTATTTATATTTAATTGGTCATTTTTTTGTCCAAGTTCAAAACCAGTCATATTTTTGTCTTTCAATACTACATAGGTAATATTCATGCAATTCTTTCTTAAATTACATAAGAGTTGATTATAGATATACTTTAATAAGTTTTTATAACAGAAAAAAAAAGTGAATTACAAAATATGAAGCAATCCTTTAAAAAAAAGAAAATATGAAGCAGTGATCGTGATGCTCATTGTTAGCCTCTTAGTACTCAATAGAATAGGTCATGGGCTCACTAAAAGTACATTAATGCCCATTTTTCTCTTAAATTATAAAAATGTCATTGAAAAAATTGGGATGTACTTCCTCCGTCCCCCTATTATTGAGACGAAAGAAAGTTGTGAGATTTTTAAACAAAGTAGAATTATATGATTAATAATAAGTTGATAAAGTGACAATAAAGTAAGAATAAATTAGAACCACATAAATATTACCACGGGCCAAACAATAACAAGAAGAGTATTACTCGTAGTTAATAAGTTGTCTTCACCCTTTGGGTGGATTTTTACCTGCACGCGGATATATGATACAGGTAAGAGGCTGAGGCTGACAGCCTATTACTCAATTGATAAGGTGCTAGCGACAGCAAACAGAGCATTAGCTGACTCATATGGTCGCGTTCTTAAATCATCTTTACTGTTCTGCTTTGAAAACATGAAAATGGATAAGGTGCCAGCTGTTGACGAAAAAGGCGATAACTTCCGGTCGCTGCCGGCGGTGCGCCCGATGAGGGCGGCGGAGCTGAACATAGCCTCGTCCCCGTCCAAGATGATTAACCGTAGCCCTTCCGAATGTGCCTTCCAGCGCTTCCTCCTGGAGGCCTCCGCACCAGTTGATCACAGTTCCGCCGCGGCTTCTTCTTCTTCTTCTACCTCTACAACTTCTCCCCGCTGGATACAACCGCCTCAAAAGGACGGCGCTGTGATCGTGGATCGGAATCTTAGAACTGATATGAATATCAAACTCGGGCACAAGAGCTCCGGGCCCGAGCTGGCTGTGGAAAAATCTATGACGGCGTCTCTGGATACAGGAGCTACAGCTAATGTTCCGGTTGATTCCAAGGATTATCAGGCATTCCTCAAAACCCGTCTCTATCTTGCCTGTGCCGCAGTAGCTTTCTCACGTGTACGTTCGAAAACAGCTCCGTTTTTTGTGTGCTATTAGGAAAATCCGCGCACTAAACAATTTAGTGGAGGACAAAATTGGAGAACGTCTGTGTTCGTGCTTAGCTATTACTCCGCATTTTTATAATATCATTATTATTTCTTATTTGGAATTTTGAGATTTGAGAATTCCATGGTTTGAATATATTCGTATTTTTTATGTCTCTCTATGATTGTAATTCACTGCTGACGGAGCAGTTTAGGCATTGGATATTTTGGATCCAACCGAAAAGAGATGGTAGTCGACTAGTCGGAAACTCTTGTTTATTTGCTTATACTATCTTATTTTATCTGTTAGGGAAATTCTGCTGAGCCTGAAAAGGGATTTGAGTCTTCTATTTCAACTCCGGAATCGCTGGTTCATTGTAATGGTTAGTGGTGCTTCTCTGGATGATTTGTGTACGAACTCTGTGATCTTTCATATCAAGATATTAGCCGGAAATGTAGATAGAAATCTTGAATTGATGAATGATTGCTGCACGGGTTGTTGGAGATAGATAACCGAGATACTAGTTTATATTCCAGTGTATGACTGTCTGGTATTATCTTGTATGGGGATTGTTGTGTTGATTATATTCCAGTGTCTGCTATTATCTGGTATACGGATTGTTTTGTTGATTATATTCCAGTTTTGCTATTATATGGTATAGGGATTATTTTGTTGATTGTTTTCCTTTCAACCGTAATAACACCTTTGTATGTCTCTCAATGAATCTATCTGGACAGTCTTGAGAAAAGTATTTATTAATACACTTTTTAGTATTTCTATTTGTTTTATTTTTTGAGTTTAACGTTTTTGTTCAGTTGGTACAACCCCCACTCTCTTTGCTGAGAGTTTTTTCAGCTACAAACAATGTGAACTCAATACCCACATGTCTATCTATTTTTAGGTGTTTACAATTACAAAACAAACTGAATCTCTACTTTCCAACAGAAGGGTACCTCAGTTATGAACTTTAGTAACAAGCCAATATTAGAAAAATACAACTAGCTTTACGAAGCATAAAAACAAAACAAAGATTCAATGACTTTTTTAAAAAATGACAGCCCTTCAGTAAGTTCTAGTATGAAACAATATTCCTCAAGTAATTTTGAAGCAAAAATCATAATTCATTTAATCGAGAACCTTAATACTATATTTCAAGGCTTTGGTTGACAAGTATTTTTGTAAGGGAAAATGGAAACTAATAATTCAACCTTTTAGCGGTCTTCTTTCAATAATCCCACCTTTTGATTATTCATGAATAATCCGACCTTTGCACCTCATCTTCATTCACTGATCCCTGACCGGTTGATGACCTGCTATTCCAAGCTATTTTCTTATCTTTGCAAATCATTATGCCATAAATCTCATCTTTCACAAAGATAATATTTTGGAAAGATAAGAAAATAACTTGGAATAGTAAGTCATTAACCGACCAAGGACCAATGAATGAAGATGAGGTGCAAAGGTCGGATTATTCATGAATAATCAAAAGGTGGGATTATTGAAAGAAGACCGCTAAAAGGTTGGATTATTAGTTTCCATTTTTCCTTTTTGTAATAGTTCGGAGAGAAATACCAGAATCACAATGGTCCAACAGGAGATATCTGTCTCCTTTCACTCACTATTAAGGTAAACATACACCTCATATTTGTTCCACTATTTTTGGGATATGAGGAAGTGACACATTCATTAAGTAAAAAGAAGTCATGTGGTTGGTATTGAATTTGTAAAGTGTGATTGAATTCAAACCACTAAAATATTATCAAATATGGTATGGGACAAACCTAGTGAAACGGAATGAATAATTTGCTATCATGTCATGTTAAGGAGGTTCATATATGCACGCATGAACCATTTTTCTGGCATATGAACTTGTGCAATTTTTCCATCATTTGCAATGGAGCCAAAGATTCATTATTTTTTGGCTTGATAATATGATGGAATACAGCAAAATGGCTCACTAAACTCTCGACTCTTCTTTGTTATGAAGCAGTTTTGGACGCGATTTTTCACTATGGGTCATCCGGAAACAGTCTCTCACTGCTTTAGTACAGGGGTAAGACTGCGTACATCCGACCCCCCCTTACCCCACCGTAGGTGGGAGCCTTTGCGGCACTGGGGTAAATGAAAATGAAATGAAATGATGAACTTGTGCAATTATCTTAATATGCCCCTTTGCATTGAACTCCTTGCTTATATCGAAAGACTTGCAATTTGCAAATATTACATACTGGCATACTGCAATGAGTAAAAAGTAAAACTTCTGGAGCATGATAATTAATAACACTATTTCTACTAAAGTTAGCCTTTTCAATTTGCACTGGCCTTCTTGAAGTATTTCATCCTAGTCTAGAGAAGAGGTTCTTGGGGACACTGTTTGATATTGTTTCTAGCTGCAGGCACAGAGAATCTATGTATATGTGGACTCAAATCTAATAATAAATGATTTAAGGACATAGTCTTTATGGCTAATTGACCTTCTTTGGAAAATTGGAACACATCTTCTTTAATGTTCTCTTTCTACTAACTGGTTGAAATGTATAATAATGTGATTACAAAAAGATAGCGTTTGTCATTCGTTTTTTTCAGTCCTAAGTCTCAGTCCCTTCCAGCCTTTTTTTGACGTTGTTTACTCATTATGAGTGGTAACTGATCAGTTTTGGCCAACATTTTATCCTATTAGGTAACATTTGTTGAAAACATTTCCCAATGACATGTTGAAAGTGGGTGTCATGATTTGATAATTCATTGTAGAAACTGTTCACCGTATTACTTTTACTATGTAGGATCTAGGAACTATTTGCCCAATGGGCAAAAGAAGAATGCCGGATGTCATGTTGGAACACCCTACTTACCTGTCCTACACAGGAAATCCAGTGCTCGGGTACGGTCAACAAGTTGCTCAGAACAGTCTGATGATGATGAACTTGATGGAGAAGCAGAAACAACTCACCACATAGATGCAACAGAAGTGAAACGTGCAAGGAGGTCAGGATTACTATAATACTGATGTTTTACTCAATTCGTTTTTTAGAGAGGCAGCACGCGGCACGCAAGCACCACCACAAAAGGAACATTACAAACTAAACATTCATATTCAATCTATCAAGAATGAGCAGTAGGAAAGGGCTTATGGTGATGAATGTTTTGAAATTTCATCTCATTATTCCTTTGTAGGAACTAGGAAGGTCGCAACAGGAAGGAGTCCAACCTAAAACATTGTTATTGTGACTTTTGACTATGTTTTTGGCTTTCTTGTGTTAGAAGGTATTTTTTGGGTGCTTATGACCGTTATTTGCCTCAAATATCCCGTATGTTCAGCGAAAAAATTCGCTCTGTTTTGGGTGAATTTTTCTATGTCTGATCAGGGACCGAGGGAACTTTTAGGCTATTTTGACTTTATTGAAGTGGTAAAGAATACCGTGACTTTAAGGGTCAGAAAGAAGTCTATGTTGCCCTTTTGGTAGTCAGCGATTTGTGTTCCTTTTTGGAGGTGGCCGTCTCAGAGTGATCATAGGTTTATTTTAGTCCAGATGGAGTCTGTTAGAAGGGTTGGCGGCTCTTGAATTTTTGGCTGGTTGTAACTCGAAATTATTAGTTAAATTAATATAGTTTGACGTTTTCTTTAAAAAAATAGTGTTAACAAAATTTAGAAAATTATTTAGCCCTACAGGTTTCATGCCACCATCTCCAACTAGTTGGGTTAAGGTGATAATGTTAATGGTATTTTCAATGTTAACATCATCTCCAACTAGTTGTATAATTCTAATTTTGTTGTGAGGTTTCTCACTAAAAAGCGATAAGCTTATATCTTTAGTATCAATTGCACAACCTGCCTTGTTTAAACATGCATTTGGTATGAGAAAAATGAACCTAATGCTCAAACCATCATTCAGGATTAAATATAACTATGCTCTCAGTAGAAGAAAGTTAGTGTTTTGTTAGTCTAATTGTTCCAAACCTTTATACCAAATGGATCTTAGCATAGTGATCCACATAATTTTTTAAGGGGAAAATTGGTCCTCGTACTATCAAGAAAAAGTCAATGAGGTCCTCATTTTTTTTAAAAAGTCAATAAAATTCCCGAACTCTGAAAAAAGTTCAATTAAGTCAATTACCAGGTCACCCGCTGACGCGACACACATGTGGCGGGTCATGTGTGTGCCACGTCATTGGTAAATCGCTGACTAGGCTTCCACGTGTGCGCCACATCAGCAGGTGGCTTATTGATGTGGCGGGTAACATGCTAATGGATTCAATTGAACGTTTTTACAATGTTCGGGAATGTGATTGATTTTTTTAAAAGTATGAGGACTTAATTGACTTTTTCGTGATAGTACGAGGACCAAATTGATAGTTTTCCCTTTTTAAGGGTTAATACACAAAAAGTTCAACAGTCGAAGGCGGTAATAAAATTAGTTTACCGTATGTATAATTCATAAATAGCATCCATCATTTTAGAATCTAAGATGATATTAGGTTCCTAGCACTAAAATTTGTTAATTTCACATGGCTACTGTCCCGTTAAGGTTTTGGATTGCGAAGTGTCTAAACTGGTTTAAGTGAGACAGAAGAGATCATTAAAGATCAAAACTGTTAAAATTCAATCTTCAATTGTCAATGATTTGAAGAAATGAAAACAAAAGGCTTTTGAACAAGATGAAGAACAGACACATCATAGTGGACTAAATCTTATCTCGTCAGATCCCGTACAGAAGTAACATATTTTAGTACACTGAACTAGACAGACTCTACCAGGGCCGTCTAATGAATTTGGAGGTCCCGGTTCTAAATATAGAATCGAGGCCCCAAATTAATATGATTTTTTAAAAGAAATATCAATTCAAATACTTATATTCAAATCAATTGAATACTCATTAAAAAGAACTAAAAGAGTAAAATTACCAACGAGAAAATCATGCATCTATATACTTCTTCCTTACTAATTGTATATTAGTGATTAGTATTAATATATAATATTACTCCGTACTATATAATACTAAAAGAAATTAAAAATTTTGGGGCCCCATAAATTTGGGGGCCCTGTTCTGGATAACCTATTAAACCCCCTAAAAAACGGCCCTGGACTCTACGAGGACTAGTTCTTTTACCACCTTGACGCCTAGAGTTGGCTTTTGTGTGTGTGTATTAAGCCTTGTGGTGGACCCTTCCTTCAACCCTCGCCATGAGGGTATGCCAATGTGCATCAGGCTGCGTTTAAGCCTTTTATGGATGTGCTAGTTGACGTCAAGGGCTGATGGATTTTGCTTGATTGATTTTATTTTAATACCTTTATTAGTTCATTTATGTTAAGAAGTGTTTTTCTAGGATTTCCCTTTCCTTGTTAAGTGGTTTAATGCATTTAAGCTCTCTTTTAAGAGAGAGATTTATGTTAATAAAATATCCAAGAAACAGTTATGAAGAAATTAAGGAGAAGGAAAACTCCCCAAATTCCAAAGGAGAAGGAAAACACCTCAAATTTCCATGGACCTTTCGTTTATCTTTTTTATTTGTTCCTCTTACGCAAAGAACCCCGTCATATACCATTTTTGGTTCCATTTGGGCTCTCCAACTTACAAATATTTTATGTTAATAGAATGCTATCCAATAGAGAATCAGCTAGACGTTCTAGAAGAAGAAAGCAAGTCCATCAGACAGAATTGGAGACACAGGTATCGTGACTTATGATGCTTTAACTCAGTTGGTGCTCTTTGACTAGGCTTTCAATTGTTAAACAATATTTTTCCCTAGGTTTCTCAATTGAGAGTAGAAAACTCCTCATTGTTGAAGCGTTTGGCTGACATAAGCCAAAAACATAATGATGCTGCAGTTGACAATCGAATCCTGAAAGCAGATGTTGAGACACTAAGAGCAAAGGTAAGAAGTGGTTTATTTTATGCATCAGTAGTACCCAAGAAGGTAAGTAAAGTTAGAAACCACAGGTTCAATCATTTTCATTATGTATTACTATACATCCCTTTTTCAATGAATACAAGTTAGCTGAACTTGGAATTTTTGAAGTCCTCTTAGCTTCCCTACCAATCCTACCATTTATATATAAGTGCACATGTTCTAGAGAGTCAGTGTCAATTCAAAACTTAGAAAATGCTAGGGAATGAAAGTAGAGAGGAAATATAGAATAAAATTTGAAGGGAAGAAAATGTGAGGAAGATAAGCCTTTTTCCTAACTCAATTTTATTTTAGAATTTTATCAATTCATGACCTGAAAGATAGGTTCACTATTAATAAAGGACATGAAAGATATGTTCATTATCAATAAGAGATCTGAAAGATAAAATGTGTTGATAGTTGATGCAGTGCCCAAATGATTGAAAACTACCAATCTAAGACCTAAAATACCATGAATTTTATTTTATTTTTTATTTTAAAAAATTTAAATGTTATATGATCTTATTAAACTAATAAACTTTTGTGAAGAAAAAATCATCAAACATTAACAATGAAATTGATAAAAAAATGAAATAAATCAAAATCTATGATAGTTTAGCAGTTTAGGTCTTTGATTGATAGTTCTCAATCATTTTGGCTCTATATTGACACACTTTATCTTTTAGGTCTCTTATTGACAGTGGACCTGTCTTTAAGATCATGGATTGATAAATTCCATTTTTCTGTAAACTTATTTATTTATATTATACGGAGTATTATGTAAAGACTGAAATCTAAATTGATGTTGAAATTTCAAAAACATTAATCATATTTGATTTTTCTTTGCAATTTTTGTAGTAAAGCTACACAAAATTAACTTTGCATAACCTTTTTTTTTCCTTCCCCTAACATTTTACGATATCCAAATATGCCCTTAGTGTTTGAATTGTAAAAGTCCTTATATACTCTCATTTTGCTTAGCACTTGGTACAAACATATATCGCGGTGTTTAAGAATGAAGATATAAATGATGGATTAGTGAAGCAAGAGTTACTAGAATCTTCATATAGTATACAAGGAATTATATAACAAGTTATTCACTACATGGTGGCCACACATACTGATTAACTTTACAAACATCCTCTATTATATCCCGAGTGCTTCATTAAAAACCTGTATAGTAACAGGCTCGGGCCGGGCTTTTTCCAAAATTTCTGCTCATTAATGTGGGTGGGCTCTGCCCGGCCGGCGGCCGCAATAAACAGCCACCTCACATGTTCATACCCCATCCATAAGAGCGGGCTGGAGCGCCCACCCGACTGTCTGGCCCAGGAATACCTTGATTTTTTTAGAATTATCAAAACAATTTAGAACACTCTTAAAATAACATCACAACATTTTAAATTTTGTTAATGTGTTGATTAATGTTAATTTGTCTCTCACTACATACTGAAAAAATGTTTACCCAAAAATATTCATTCAAAACAATAACTTTAATTTAAAATTCAAACACAAAGTATTAGTTTTAAATGTATGAATAAATGTTAAAATTGGGTTGGGTAATAGTTAAAAGCTAAAAACTAAAAGTTAAACTTTGTGGGCCATAAATATGTTTAAACATAGTTGGCCACATGTTATATATACGTCTATGTGTGTGTGTGTGTGTGTGTTGTACTGCAGCCCGAGACAGCCTACACCCCATACCAAGTCCGCCCATATATTTTTGTGCGCCCAGACTGGTGGGTAAATATATATGTCCGAAGTCCAAACAGCCCTGTTTGTAAGGGCTGGCTGGGCGGGACGATTGAGCCGACCCTTTTCTGTACAGGTCTGCTCACCATATTTTGCTTCTGTAGCCAAACATGGCATGCCATGTTTTATTTGTTGATAAGAGTGGGGAAGCTATCTCTTGATGATCCATTGAAGTTTACTGTGCAAGCGAGTGAATTTAAGCATCTGTATTGGCTTCTAGCCCTCTATGTAACAGATAAATCTTGGATTTTGTTTCGGGCCTTGCAGTACTCCAGTTCACTTACATGGACTTGGGTGTTCTATGAATAATCTTTTTTTCAACACTTACAAATAATGTTTTGTAAAAAAGTTATTGAAGCACTTAGCACTCAGCAAAACCTGTTTTCATAACCTGTGTTTTCAAACAACAAATTATGTTTTCAAATCGCGACCCGAACATGATCTATAAACATCCACCTTAGACCATTGTTGCAATATAGCTTTAGAGATGCTATTCATCTTTATTTTTCACTCCTCCACTTGATAAGAGAACATAGAGAGCTTAGGGCTCGTTCTCTTTGCTAGACAATAATGTGATCTTTGATTTTTGTTTGTTTTGATATGGTTGGGTATGGTGTGATCCAGTCTTACTTGGTCTTATTTTTATGGTGTGGTGCAACCTGATTTGAATGTTTCTGATGTTTAATTTTCTTGTCGGAATCTGGTTTGACATGAATGTTTCTGTTGTCAGTTATGATATGGTCCGAGGGTTATGTTTTCTAGTCAATTTTGACGGGCTCTGATTTGATTCAATCGGGAATCTGTAATAAGGTAAAAGAGTAAGGTGAACAAATATAGCACCTTAAATTTATGCTCTTCTCCATGCAGGTGAAGATGGCGGAGGAAACCGTTAAAAGAGTAACCGGGATGAATCCATTACTCCAAGCAATGTCTGAGATATCCCTTGTGAGCTTTCCATCCTTTGCCGATAGCCCTTCGGACGCTTCAACTGATGCTGCTTCAGCTGTACATATGCAAGGTTGTGATGATCTTGACTACTACCAAGCCCTTTCTCATATTTCCTCTCCCCATGGATCTGGAGGCTCCAGTGGATTGCTGAACATCCATCCAAATGATAATGTGCAGCAGGGCTTGGAATGCCCACACGAGTGCATCCGCGGAGTTGTGGGAAATTCGTTGCAGGGAAAGCAATAATGTGTAAAGTGAGATTTAAATATTTACTTTTTCCAATTAGAGGCATTCACTATCTGGAATGAAAAATATCTATTGTGCCTCGAACATTTCATTTTCAGCGAATGATTAGCTAATTCCTTCAGATAGTATGTCTAGATTCCCTCACATAGTATGTGTGGTTGCACTCTTTTATTTACCTTTCATACCAGAGTGGTGTCACAAAAATGACATTGGAAAGTGATATGCCATGGCATGTTTGGTACATTAGAACTATTTGTCCTTGCTTATTCCATAATTTGAAACATTGGAAAACTTCCCTGGAATATAAACTTCCCCTAGGTATACTCCTAGCAAAAATTCTCTTTGTACCCATTTTTGTACCCACCCCCTATTTTGCCTGTGCACAGGCAACTCGTTAAGAAGAAGGCAACACTTTTCTTCCATTTGCCTGTGTACAGACAAATGTACAAAAGTGTGTACAAAAGTGGGTACAACAAGAACTCTTTAATCCCTTAACCATTCACCCTCTTCATTCTTACGGACCAAACCGTGGAATTTTCAAATTCTTTTTCCTCATACAGTAATTTCATTTTTCTTGTTTTCCTCTCTGTGTATCAAACGTGCCACTGAACCAAGTAAAGTCCAAGTGATTATGGTATAGTACCATCTAGTTTGATTTTGTATTAGGTGTTTTGATTGATATACACTATAATAAATGTAAAATAATGGTATGTTAAGTTTCTGTGATATGACACTTAAAGTTTGAGCTAGTTCGCTATCATTTACTCCATATGTTATTTCGAAGGGTAGCTGCTTGATGATACACTATATTTACACCTCTGCTTTTATTACAATGGACTAATATTAAGAGTACAAATAAAAAATGTGGCTGGAATTACCGGTGGCAAACAGCACAACATCTGCCAGCAAATGTTCACCATGGTCCGTATGTACTCTGATGCCATCCTTTATTTTCACTAGCTGAGTAATCATGCATTTCAATTCAGTAGTAAAGTATGAATGCAGTGATGAGACAACAATACTCTAAGATATTTTCTACTAAATAAATAGATAGTTAATAGGAAAGCTATGAACAATTAGATATTGGGGATTTCTATTGCCTTAACAAAAGAAAAATAAAACCATGTCACTAATTAAGATTTTTAATACCTCTTTAAGACTTGTAAAATGATACATTTTAATAAAGTTTTAAATACAATATTCCTAAACTTTGAGCATAGAGGGAATTCCTGATATGAATATATGTAGTATTAGCACACTCCGATGGAAGCATTCATAAATTGAATATTTGAATTTCTATCGTTGTGTAGTTTACTAGTTTATGCCCAAAAACATAGCCAATCAATTTAAGGGGCACTTCTCACCTGATCAAGGAGCGAATTAGGGGTGGACTCGGGTCGGGCGGCCCGCCCGGAACCGGCCCGACCCGGTCACTGTTTGAACCGGCCCGAACCGCCGGCCTGGCCAGGGACCGGTCCGGGTAGGCCCGACCCACTGGGGTTCCGGGCCGGACTCGGGCCCCTCAAAAGGTGAACCGGCCCGGCCGGTTCGGGCCCGGTCCGGGCCAATTTATTTATTTTTCTTTTTTTTTTTTGAATTTTTTTTAAGTTTTTGGGTTGGGCTGGGTATTTTGGGCCATTTGAGGTGGTTTGGGGGTGAGGGGGGAGGGTTGGGGGTTAATTAGGAAAAGCCAAAAAAAATTAAATTGAACCGAGGCCCGGCCGGGCCCGAACCGGCCCGAGTCCACCCCTAGAGCGAATCAATTCTCCAATACTCGGCTTGAGCAATTTCCGAATATTGTCGCTTATTGTCAAGCTTTGAAAATTCCTTCTGACCAATTGAAAAATGTTGATTTTCCGGTCAAGAATGACCGTCTCGTTCTTCGTCTTGTGCGTGGTCTGCCAGCACACTATGACACTGTCGCCTCTTTCATTCAACAGACGGTTCTGCTTCCCGAGTTTTCTAAAGCACGATCGATGTTTTTGCTTGAAGAGGCTCAGAAGAATCAACAACATGGTAATACAGACGCTGCCATGGTCCATGTTGGGCCTCGTCCACCCCCACCTCCTCGTCCGGATAATCGTGTTACCCGTCCTCGTGGCCGGAACCCCTCTCGTGGCGGCAGAAACCGGGCTCTTACTCGCCCCGAGGGTCCGCGACATGGGTTTGATACATTTGCCCAACCCGGACAATGGCCGTTTCCACCATGGTCATACTGGCCGACGGCTCCTTGGGCTCCTCCTCCATGCCCATATCCGGCAGTACCATGGAATGGGGCTCCTCCTTCTCCTTGTGCCTCTGTCAGCATTCTTGGGCCGGCTCCTCACCAAGCACATTTAGGAGGGCCGTCTACCACTCCTACTGACATCACGGCGGCTATCCATACCATGCCACTCTCTCAGCCGGATCCAAATTGGTATATGGATACGGGCGCCACGACTCACATGACGTCCTCTTCAGGTACTCTTACGCCCTATTTTAATACTTGTATTAATGCACGCATCCTGGTTGGCAATGGTCATTCTATTCCAGTTTTGGGTCATGGCCATACCACCCTTTCCTCATATACTCCCCCTCTATACTTAAATAATGTTCTCCATGCACCTCAATTAATTAAGAATCTTGTTTTTGTGCGTCAATTCACTTCTGATAATAATGTATCCGTTAAATTTGACCCGTTTGGTTTTTCTGTGAAGGATCTCCACTCGGGGGGGGGGGGGGGGGGGGGGCAGTTCTGAGGTGTAACAGTTCAGGTCATTTATATCCCGTCCTGCCATTATCTACTTCACGCCACCAGTCACCATCCGCTATGCTTATGTTACCAGACGAGATCTGGCATAATCGGCTCGGTCATCCAGGGGATCCAGATTTTAATTTTCTTAGGGTCAATAATACTATCCCTTGTAATAAATTGTCCTCGTCTGTTTGTAATTCGTGTCAATTAGGAAAACATATTAAATTACCTTTTCCATCATCACTGTCTGTTACATTTCAACCATTTGATTTAATACATAGTGATTTATGGACATCTCCTGTTTTAAGTTCTTTTGGCCATCATTATTATGTCTTGTTCTTGGATGATTACTCAAAAATCTTATGGGTTTATCCACTTCAGCACAAATCTGAAACTTTTTTTGTATTTGTTAAATTCATACACACTCAGTTTGAACGCCATATTAAAGTATTTCAGTGTGACAATGACACTGAATTTAATAACTCATCATTTCGAAAATTTGGAGATGATCATGACATTCATTTTCGTTTTTCTTGCCCATACACTTCCCCCCAAAATGGCAAAGCAGAACGGACCATACGCACTCTAAATAATATGGCTCACACACTTCTTCTTCATGCCCACCTTCCCCCAAAGCTCTGGCCTCACGCCATTCAAATGGACAACTACTTCTTCATGCCCACCTTCCCTCAAAACTCTGGCCTCACGCCATTCAAATGGACAACTACCTATACAATATTCTCCCCGCCCATCCATCCACTATCACACTCCTACCACCCTTCTATGCCACAAAATCCCTACCTACAATCATCTCCGTGTTTTTGGATGCCTTTGCTATCCTCACACTCCCTACCCCAATCATAACAAACTCCTAAGCCGCTCCACTCCGTGCATTTTTTTGGGGTATCCAACTAATCACAAAGGATACAAATGTTTGGATCTTGCTACTCATAAAATTATCATCTCACGTCATGTAACATTTAATGAGTCCAATTTTCCATTGCAAACCCCTTCGGCCCCACCCACAAACACTGATGACCTATCGCACCTTTCCTCTTGGGTTCAAGACGTGTTTGCATGGCCATCACCTATGCCCATGCACACTTCGTCTCACGTCACTCCACCCACTGGTCAACCCTCTAGTCCACCCTCTCCGCATCACGCACAAACACCCCCCAGTCCTCCATCCTCTCCGCCTCACGCACAACCACCCCACGTACCAGTACGTCGCTCCCCTTCCCCGTCAAACAGTCAACCTGCCCGTCACCCAATGATAACTCGTGCCCGGGCAGGGATCTCCAAACCAAAACACATGCTAAGTCTATCGGCCTCACATACTCCCCCCTTGCCTAAATCACCCATAGTTGCTCTTAATGATCCTCATTGGAAAACAACCATGGACGCCGAATTTAGTGCACTTATTAAAAATAGTACGTGGGAGTTGGTTCCCCGTCCCCATAATATTAATATTATCCGTTGCATGTGGCTTTTTAAGCATAAATTCAGGTCGGATGGATCGCTTGAGCGCCACAAAGCTCGCCTAGTCGTCAATGGTAATTCTCAACAAGTTGGGGTTGACTGCGATGAAACCTTTAGCTCCGTGGTCAAACCGGCAACCATCTGCACTGTTCTCAGCCTAGCTATTTCTCACTCTTGGCCTTTACATCAGTTGGACGTAAAGAACACTTTCCTTCACGGACAATTGGAGGAAACTATTTTTACATGCATCAACCACTTGGGTACCGGGATGTTAATCATCCTAATCATGTATCTCATCTCCTCAAATCACTATACGACCTGAAGCAGGCTCCTCGTGCGTGGTATCACCGGTTTGCATCTTACGTGGGCATTCTTGGTTTCCATCATAGCAAGTGTGATCATTCGCTCTTCATTTTCCATCAGAACAACGACACCGCGTACATCTTACTGAACGTTGATGATATCATACTTACGGCTTCTTCTGATCACCTCCGACGTTCCATCATGTCTCACCTCAGTGACGAGTTTGCCATGACCGATCTCGGCCCATTATCTTATTTCTTAGGTGTCTCGGTCAAACGAGATTCCAACGGGCTCTTCCTGTCTCAACAGTCCTACGCCGCGGACATTATATCACGAGCAGGGATGACTGCATGTAATTCCGTGGCCACTCCAGTAGATACGAATTCCAAGCTTAGTGCTAATTCTGGCCCACCCGTGGAAGACTCATCTCTTTATCGGAGTCTCACCGGTGCTCTTCAATATCTTACTTTCACACGACCGGATATCTCCAATGCCGTTCAACAAATTTGCTTATTCATGCATGATCCCCGTGCTCCACATCTACACGCTCTGAAGCGCATCATTTGGTATCTCCACGGTACATCACATTTTGGTATTACACTACGTTCGTCCGCCGTCACCTCTCTCACGGCCTACACCGATGCCGATTGGGGTGGCTACCCCGACACCCGTCGTTCAACGTCCGGCTATTGTGTATTCTTAGGCGACAATTTGTTGTCATGGTCTTCCAAACGTCAACCCACAATCTTGTTAGAACCGGGGGATAAAATTGGTAAAATATAA